TGACATACTATAGTAGCAGACTACACGGAGTCATGTATACCAGGAGGCAGGGACCACTGTGAACCCCCCTGAAGCCTGGGAACCAGAAGGCACCTAAACGGAGCCCTGGCTGACATTCCAGAGGCTGGTGGTAGGATGTCTGGGGTAGCGTCCATAAGCTGTAGCCACAGATAACAAGAAGTGCCCTGCACTAAGGTCTCTGGAGTCTCCAGCTGCACAGGGAGAAGCCTGATGACTCTCGAGTCCGCATAGGGCAGGGACTGTCAGAGCCGTCCCCAGCCAGAGTGCAGAGGCCTCACTCAAGACAATAAACACTGGAGAGAGATGGAGAAGGGTCACACCTTAGGAGCAGTGCTGTCAGCCCTGGAGTAAAGGCCACTCCAGGCCCATCCTAAAAGAAATTAGAAATAAAACTGGAAAGGATTGAACTGACCAGAAGAAACTTAACTGTCTGCCATAACGAAGCTGGCAAAAGAAAATAGCACAGCACTCAGGAATGCAAAATCCACAGTAGCCACTGTTCAAACAAAATGCTAGCTATAAAAAGCAGGATAATTTGACTCATAACCATGACAGAAATCAGCCAATATGACAAAGATGACGGAATTAGCAGATACACATGTGAAAACAGATATTATATTTTCCATATGCTCAAAGATCTAAAGAAAAATATGAAAATACTGAGAGAAATAAGATGTTGAAAAAAAGAATCAAACTTCTAGAGATTAAAAAATACAATATCCAAAATAAATTTATTGTGTGAGATTAACATCAGATTAAATACTACAGAAGAAATTGCTAAACGTGAAGACAAAGAAACAGAAATATTCAAAATGAAGCACAGAAAGAAAAAAGACTGAAAAAAGTGAACAGTGCACAGTGACCCGTGAGACAGTATCGAGCAGTCTCACATGTATAGATGGAGCCCCAAGAGAAGGGGACAGAGAGGGGATAGAGTTTTTAAGTCCATGGTCCAGAGTCAGAGGCGAGATTTTTTTCAGTGTGGATATCCAGTTGTTCCAGCATCATTTGTTGAAAAGACTGAATAACTTGACACCTTTGTTGAAAATCAGTTGACCGTGTGGATGTGGGTTTATTTCTGGGCTCCGCAGCTGACTTCATTCTGTGTCTGTCCTCACGCCAGGCCACTGCTATCATCACCACAGCATTATGCAGGCTTTGAAATCAGATAGTAAAACCTCTTCAACTTTGTTTTCAAAATTGTTCTAGTTATTCGAGGTCCTTCATGTTTGTATATAAATTTTAGAAACAGCTAGTCAATTTCTACAGAAAAGCTGGCTTGGATTTTGATTGGAATTAACTGAATTTACAGATTAATCTGGGAGAATTGATAGGATAGTGTTAGCTATAGATATCTCACAGATGCCCTTATCGGGCTCAGGAAGTATTCTTTTATTTCTAGTTTTCTGAGTTTTTATCATGAAGGGGTGTTGAGTTTTTTGAATGCTTCTCTGTACATACTGAGATGATTACATGGTGTGTTTAATTATGTTAATATGACGAATTACATTGAGAAATTTTCAACAGTGCTCCACATGGCTGCAAAAGAGGAGTCACCTTAAGGGAAAGCCAGATATCTGAACCACCAAACCGCATGGGCCTCCGGGACCAAGTCTTAGCTTTGCAGGCACTAAGTGTGACTCCAAGGACACAGGGACTCTGTCCGATGCTTTCTCCACACCACTGATATAGACGTATAACCAGGGTGCCCAATGACTCATTCACTGGCCGTGAGTGGTCACTGAGAGTGCACGTGTAGTGACCCATCGACTGGCTCCTTCAGCATGCCTTCCTGAATGCTCAACAACGATGAGAAGGTTGCTTGGTGAGGACGGCACCAGGACAGGGGGCTCAGGTGGCTGCTGCACAACTGCCGGCCACCGTCACAGCGGTGGTCAGAGCTCGCCCCGATGTCCCCACCGATGCTGCTGGACAGCTAGCTTTGCCTGGCTGAGCCCTCGTTTCCTTGTGCTCTGTCCACAGCTCTGTCTGCGGACTCGTTCCTCCTTCAGCTGTGTTAGCACCGCTGCCCTTACTGTGGTCCACTCTTAGGCTGGTCTCTGACATGACCTACTGATCTTTTAAAATCAAATTCTGTGTTTCACTCAGCCATATAACATTTCCCCCTATGTAACTTTTTGTCGGCACCAGTCTCTCAGATCTTACTTGTCTAGACAGTGAGACATGAATTCATTAAAGCAATCAGATGCCAAAATTTTTCCTCACCCACCTTGGCCTTCAGTTTCCTCTTCCCAAGTTCTTATCACCACTGATGGTTTGATGTCTCAGAGCTGTTTTGAGACACCTCTGCTTTCTAGATGGCAGCTGGCCCACTTCCCTCAGCAGACTCAAGTATGGCAGACAAACCCAGCAAATGATCAGATCAGAGCGGGGGTGGTGGTGGTAGTGGTGTATGTGTGTGAGACAGAGAAAGGGGCGTGGCTCTGGGTCCCAGGAAGCCAGTGTGCTCTGCCCAACAAAACACAAATCCTCATCCTGAAACTTTGACCCTGGCAACCAATGAACCCAGGCAAGACACTGGAAACAGTAAGAGAAGGAGCACAGTAAATGTGATCCAGTGTAAACCTGTTAAATACTGAAGACCTCAGGGTCTGTGAAGGGGTGACCCTTGCATAGTAGAACTTATATCGACAACACAATCCCTAACAAGCACTGTCACTTTCGGAAGCCCTGAAATCCTAATTAAAATGTCAATGTCCAGTAATTTTTATTTGATAGTATGATCATGGGTACATTTAGAAAATTTTGAGGGACATAAAGGTTTTACCGCAATCATAATATTTCAGAGATTCATAAAAGGAATTTATCTAGTTTTAAAAGCTGAGGTCCAGAGTCAAATTTCACATTAGTCAAATACTAAGCCTACTTTATTAAATTTTAATTATAACTTTAAAAGAATAATCATATTATATTTTCTGAGGCAGGATAAGAAAAATCCATTCTTGAAAATAACCAAGAGTTGACTGAAACAAAAGAAACCCTTAAAATGCTAGAAACACTTAGAAACAAAACATTCCCGACTTTCATAAAATATATTATGTTGCATGAGTGTATTTTAATGTGTTAGTTTGTAACATGTTACATGATGCATTGCTACGTTACTATTAGTTATTGCACTTACCAGAAAATTTGATCTCAGTTGAGTTAAACATAGTTTTCTTAAATATCAAAGGTCCTGATTTCTAAAACGAAAAACAATATAGAAAGATCTTGTTAAATTTTTTTCCTCTACTGTTGGAGTCTAGTTTTATCCGAAAAATGTGTGGTTCTAAGGCCCGTATCCCTCCCTGTGAGCAGATAAATCTGATCATGCACAAGGATCTCCGCCCTGCAGTTCAGGAAGCTCAGGTGCCCCTACTCGCACAGCGCCACCCAGGAGGCGAGGGCTATGCTGCTCCCACACAGAACCTGCCAGGGCACCCGCAGTGAAGGCACTTTTGAGGGAAGAACCAGGCCTCTCCGCGCATGGTGATGGCTCGCTACTGTGTCCCACGGCAGTCCGGTCCTCGCTGCAGCACACGGGGCTGTGCCATCACCTGCCCGCCTCTCCAGAATTTTCTTTCCGCTCCTCCAAAGCACGGCACTCCTTTTTGCCCTTAAGACCCTGGGGAGTCTCCTTGAAACCACACTCCCCACCCTCCCCTGTCCCTCTTCCTTCACCTGGCCAATTCCTTCTTAGCCTCCAAGCCCAGTCCCCGGGTTCCTCCCTCAGGAGCCTTCCAGCTGGCCCCACGACCCCAATACTGTATCAGTCAGTCTGCTCTCCCCAGGAAGCAAAGCTGCAGAGAGGAGGGGTTGTGTTAACTGAACAAGTGGTGAGGATGAAAGCTGAACACTGAGAGGCCACACAGCTCTGCCCCGAACTCCCAGAACAGTTTCAGGAACCACAGAACCTCCAGCCCGGCACAGAATCTCCACTCTGGCTCGGCATCCACCCACCCAACCACCGACAGCCACGTCCACTGGGGTGTCCAGCCAATGTCCCACACTTTGCTCCACAGTGCTTGCTGTGCCGTCCACCCTGTTAGGTGGTGGGTGGTGCCCCCAGACCCGCATCGCCATCACCCGAGGCCCAGGGCATGGCTATTTCGTCTCACACACCCCTCCCTTGCTCCCTGTTCCTGCCACTGGTGATCTAGGGCGTCGTTTTTCTTCCTGCACTTCTGCAATGATGTGGTTGGCCCTCTGCCTCTAGACCTGAGCCCGTGGTCCCTCCTCAGACAGCAGCCTGCCAGCCAGTCACATGTATGTCTAAACCCTTCAGTGCCTGTCACTCATTCATACCCCAAATTTCTACTGCTGGCCTGGGGCCCCAATCCAACCAATGAATGGGGTTTGTTGGGCCCATTTATAAAGTTTTGAATTAGTTGACATAATAAAAATATGGATTCTGGTTTCATTTTCAAAAAAGTAGACCTGGCAATTCTGTGCCTACCTGCCACATGGTAGCCATCAGCTGGAGCCGAAGGACAGTGGCCCTTGTCAGAAGGGACCTATAATCTGTAGCCCAGCACACCCCACACTGTCCCCCAGTCCTGAGCCCAGCTCACTTTATTCACTGATGTGACTTGCCTCAGTCCCTGCAGGTCCTTGAATTTAGACACCTGGACTCAGGCTCAAGGCCAAGCTCAGGCATGCGAGGCTCATGGTGGCCTAAGTCCCCTCTGACACTGCTTCCAGAATGTCATCCAGCAGAAACACTACTAACTTCCTGCACTGATGCTGCTGTACGCTGTCCTTCCCATCCCCAAGGTGACACCTACTCATCTTTGAGGACCCCACCGGGAACCAACTCCGGACAGCAGGGTTCAGTGATCCCTCAGTGCTCCAGTAAGATCCCAGATGCCACCATGTGTGGTTACTATTCTCATATCTGCTGTCCTGCTGTGTGAGCTTGAGAGGCGGCCACTGTCTGAACTTAACCTTTGCAACAGCAATGGCCAGTGAAGCACATGGCACGTGGTAGGCACTCAAACCATTTGCTGGCCTTTACCATCAAAACAATCATTTCTTGATAGATGTGCAGCACAAATGAAAGAAGCCCCAATCCTCCTGTCCTGTTCTGAAGGACATGTTCTGACAACTTGAAATGGGGAAAAGCCAGCCTGCTCTTTGCGAAGAAGGGCTTTGTGGACAGCTTCTGGCCTCGGTCACCCAGACCACAGATTACGAGGGACCCAGGGAAAAGGTCTCTTCCTCATGCAGGAAGCAAAGTCATTCTCTCTCCGTGGCCTTTGGAGTCTCACGATCCAAAGCAGACTTGGCAAAGATCTTGGCCAACATGGTCAGGGCTCACCATCTGGCTGCAGCTGACTCCCCTGCAATAGTGTTACTTCCGACTTGGCTTACGACACTGGCCATTTACTCCAGAAGCAGTGTGAAACTCCGCGGGGTGGTTCTCTCTTTCCGATCAGAGAAATGCGATATGGGCGATATGTAGGCTCTGTCAGTGGAAGCCCTACCCGCCCAGGGCACTGCCCAGGGTCCTGAAGACACCTGGGCATCTAGATGAAAGACGGTACCTCCACCCCTGGGCAGCTTTTCTGTTGTGGGAGACACTCGCAGCTCCTGGCACTATTTTCTTTTTTTGGTTGAGGAAATCAAACATGAGTTTTGCCTTTAGAACCCGGCCATCATTTCCACGCCTGTGGAAAATGCTCGTGCCGAACAGAGCCGGATGATTCCTCTCGCCTGGAAACGCAAGGGACAAGGCCTCTTCCGAGTCCCTGTCCGGAACTATTAGCAAGCCTTTACAAAATGCCACCCCGCACCCCGCTTCGTCTCTTGTAACCGGGGTGCCAAGCGCTCCAGTGGCCTGCCCTGGAAGGAAGGCCGCATCGACTCTCGCCTGCAGACTGGCCCCCACACGCTCCTTCCACCCCTCCCCCCAAGAACAGGGAATGACGGCGAGTGGCCACGTGTGCCCCCCGCCCCCAGTCACAGAGAACACGGAAGCGGCGCGCGCTGTCTCGTTTCTGCCGGAATTGAACCAGAGGCCTCCGTGTGGCCTCGCGGTGTGGCCCGGGGACCGCCTGGGGCACCGCTGGGCGCTGAGTCCGACCTCGCGCGGGCAGATCCGCCGCCCCCAGGCCCTGGCCGGCAGACGAGGGGCGCCCGCGGGGCAGAGTCCGCCCGGGAGCGCCGAGCTCGAGACGCGCCACTTACG